AATAATAAAAAAATTAAAAAATAAATATTGTCACAATATTGTCGAGAGCGGACAGGAGGAGGAGAAGTGCCCAGGATGAAGCATGAGGCTGAGACTGCTGGGTTTGCTCCAGTCCTGCTCGCCTCTCAGCTCGCTGCTTCCTCTACGCTCTACGTCAAAGCAGACGTCCGGCGACGGATTTCAGAATAAAAGCCCCGCTGTGGAGTCAGAATCACAAAATACTGTGGTTGATTGATTGGTAATGTGTTTGTTACTGCTGCTCAAGGTGCTCACACGATATTAAGAATAGAAATAGTAATTATATTACAATATTTAATAATATATCTGGAAATAGAAATAGAAATGTATAAATCTATAGGCCTATATAAATATACACATATAAAATAAATATATAAAAATATTATAGTTCAATATATGACAATAAATAGAGATATAAGTAAGTGTATGCTACAGTATATGACTGACAGAAGTGTAATGAAAAACAACAGGAGTACTGTTAATGTTAATAATAAGTACTGATAATGTTAACATTATTAAAATTTTAAATTTTTAAAATTTTTATATTCTTAACTTTATTCTACTCTTCTACTTGTGTGTTGCCTAAGAGAGTCGGGCAAAGTAAGATTTTCATTGTACGTATAAACCACTGTGTTTCTTACTGTACATGTGATAATAAACCTCTTGAATCTTGAATCTTAATATGTTGACATCCTTAAAAAGACTGCAGTATTAGTGACAGATTAAGCCAGAGTATTACACGTTAACCTGAGTATTGCACATTTAAAAGAGCAGGTACAAACCCTGCTCTTTCTATAAACTGCTCTTCTAGGAACTTGTTTCCTGGCTTCCGGCCTCTGTCTGCTGTACTTTCTTAACAATACATTGAAAGAGGCAGACACGCCGACCATGACGTAGGCCTCATCTGCTTCACAACTGGTTGGTTCAGACTACAGCCTACTTTTGTGGTGCCTTTAGATGCCTCTGCATGAAATATAGGATTATAACAACAGTGGACAACTTATATGTTATAAAAGTTTTTTATTTTCTGCTTATTCTAAAAATGAAACGAGCCAGCTGGTTTGTGCAGAATAACTTTAATGATAACAATAATAAGCAGCTATATCATCATAATGTAAATAAAAAAGATTAAAGCATCTAAAACATCCACTGTGCTTACACATTATAAATTATATTATTTTACAATTGAAATACACATTTTTACACGTACACTTCATCATCATTTTTGTTAGATATAAACTTGCGAGTGTATATAAACATGTATATACTGTATTGCAGTCTATTTACCACCTAATGATTTATATGAAGTAATCTATTACATTACACACTCTATATGTTTTCCTTTGCACTATTTGAATTTATCTAGTTTACAGAAACATTTGTATATTATTGATCAATGTCGCTTTTTATATAGGCCTGTATTTACCCATCTACTTTTTGCACCTGCTTGTATGCACATTATAGTTAAATGTTTATGTTTATCTATCTTTGTTCAGCTTTGTCACCCTTGTTTTTAGCTATATCTATTTCTGTCTTCCTGTAATTTATTCTTAGAGCCGTGTGTAACATTGAGAGCATGTATTATTTAGTGACTTGGCCAATAAAGCATGTGTACACATACTAGGCCAATAAAGCGACTGAGATTCTGATTGATATAACATTACAATAGCTAATCAAATATAGTTAAACTAAACCAATTATTTGTATTTATTTTGCAAGTATTTCTATCTTAGATGTTTTTATTTTTACTTTATTTAAGTAACAGAAAAATGAAACATTAATCATAAAACAGTTTCCCTCCATGAAATACCAATCAATATCTATAGCTGGCTAATAATGCAGTTGTCCTGCCATCAACTGGGCCCCTGAAAGAATTTACTCAAGCCCCCAAATCCCATAATTTGTAGCCTAAATAATATAGAAGTTCTATTATATGGAGACTTCATACATCTCTAACTACACAAAATCACTTCTTCTGTGCCATCTCTCTTAAAAGACCTACCTGTTATAAGATGTTTAGCACAGTAGATCATGTCCATACTTCCAAATCGCCATATAAGTCGTGCAATTATAAATGGCAAAACTTATGTTTAGGTTACTGTTTGATATTTGGTTGAAGGCAGCATAAGAGTGAATATCAACAAGAACACTAGTGTATTGAAAATTGGAAAAATGCCACATCACTGGTGTACAAATTATAGATAGTTTACACTATTATGTGCGGTTTATGGTACAAATCAGCACTTTGCACTGTCTGCCATTGGGCCTGTATATCTCCTTCCCAAATGGCCAGACATATTTAAGGGACCATGCGATAAATCAGGGACACAACCTCTTATTAATACCATCCCTTAAATACATAACAAGTTTAGTGTGGCGCATTAACACTGATGCAGACATTAGAGGGCATAAAGAGTTCTTAAACGTTCTCTGCTGCTAGCTTACAGGACACCATCTGTACTAAATTTATCGGACAGTCAGGATCATGTCTCTAATTGAAAATGCGGCAGAAAAATCTCTCAGTCACCTAACATTTCACACTTCACACTGGACTTCCTGTCATTTCATTGAAGTGTAACTACACCCTTTAGTTCTGCTTCCTAAAAAATGGATCCGAGACCTGCAAAGGACGTGGCCTCGGAACAGAGTGATTGACAGACTGACCACAGCAGCGTAGCAGAAACAACGAGCCTTTGAACTAGAACTAGAACCGCAATGTTTAACTAGATGTCTCCTACGGTTTATTCTGGTTAGCTGTAGGTGGTCCAAAGCACCTGCAAAGTGAAGCTTTTGTATATTTTTTGTGGAGTCACAGCTTCTATTTACTTTTATAACATTTCTTTTTTTGTAGGAAATGATTCTGACACTCCTCATCCCTGAACCTAACCAACCAGCCAAACAGCAACTGTCAACTGAAATCACCTTTCAAACATTTAATGTAGGCCCACTATAACCTGAATTATGAATCTCATAGCCTAAGGATTGGTATGTTCAGATAAATGTCATTAACAAAAACATTTTTGGCACAGTCTCTTCTGTGACTATGCCTTCAGGTTCATCCTGCTGCTGCGGTTTAATATCCTTCTGTGCGGCTTGTCTTTATAGCTAATATGCAAATTTTATCGTAGTCAGCATGTTAGCATTGTTATCATGAGCATGTTAGCATGCTGACATTAGCATTTAGCTTAAAGCAAACCCTCATAGAGACGCTAGCATGGCTGTAGATTATTGGTCTTGTTATGACCTGTATCTTGGTACACAATGGTATCTCTTGTTTGTAGATTTTCCTTTATTGTAAGTGAGACCACAGGTTCACTATCTAATTATGCGTGTGTGCTTAAATTCAGTACACAGCCTCTCTGAAACATTCATTTGTGCTTTTAATCAGGTCATAGTCCTGCCACATGAGCTGGGATTCATGGGACACAGTGTGATGTTGCAGACATCCTTATGGCGAAGGGTGTGGACGGCATGTTGATCCCATTCCAGGGAAAAGTTTTCCGTGAAGGAAGTCCTTTGGCATGCCAAAGGATGAAAGTATGAGGATGGACATGCAAATCTGCAGAGAGTGCTTGTGGTGTCTCCAGGATGTCTAAAAGTGTTTGTTATTTTGTCCTTCTAAGACAGGATCTAATCTGAAAAAGGCAGGATTATAATAAAAAAAGGAAGTCATGGGTTTGTCAACTCCCTATCACTTTTCATGTCTGAAGGCCATTTCAGTACAGTTTCTTTTCTCCGTGCAGATGTAAGTGGTAAATTCCTTATCAAAGGCATCAAAACATTTGCTGTTTCCGATCGCGTGTAAGCATATTTATAGTCAGACCAAACTGAATGACAGGAGCTGAACTGAACCACTTCTCACTGGAACGACTTCACAAACTTCCCCCTTTCACAGTCACCACCAGAGAACTGAATGAGATATGGAGTTTTATTGATAGAAAAAAAAGAGAGAGAGCACTGTGGGGCTATTATGAGAGCAGACTGTGAAGTGAGAGTGGGAACTGTCTCTGAGGGAATGTCAAGGTTAGTAAGATTAGTTCTACTTCAAAGGGGGGTGGGTGTATGTTTGAGAGGATTCATCTTAGAATTGAGATTTCATGTCGGAGGGTTATCCCTTTGTCTGTTCATGGAGAGGCTGACAAATCCCTGGGTCAATGTTTTTGTCCAAAGGGGGTCTCTCCACAAGAGGCCAAAGAAGCCTACCATACCAGACAGTCAAAGCCTGACACTTGAGGGAAACAGAGGTGTTAGACAGATAAAGCAGCCTTACCCTGTTGCTGCTGTTAGTGCATGTGTCCTATGATAACACATGTCAGCCACTATCACACACTCCGGGCTCCACAGAGGTAACAGAGAGCGGCGAAAGCCCTGGGAAAACGTGGAGGAGCGTGAAATCACCTTGATCCAAAGATTCCTGCTGCATACCAGTCCACTGAACCCACCAGAGCACAGGGGCCCGGAGATGGGCAGACTGCCACAGATCAAGAGAAAGAGACAAAGACAGAGAAAGAGAAAGAGAGAAGAGGTGGAGGGTGATAGTCAAGATATTTAATCCCAGCGATTGGTTTGAAGCTTAACATCATCTTATGTATTTCCTGTGCAAGATCAAGTAAGTCGCTCCATGAGGGAGGCCTCTCTCGGATATAAACACAGGATTTACTTTTACATGCCAGTTTCAGGGCCAAGCTTGATTACAGGTTGCCCATGTGCTCTGAGTCAATATGGCTGTTTGGGTTTACTGACAGTAGAGAAGAGGATGCTATGGCTGGAATGCTGTGGTGTGAACAGTGGTGAACACTCCTCCCAGTGCTGAGTGATAGCTGGTGTAGCTCAGCCAGCAGAGTAGATAAAGTGGCTTCTGTCTGTCACATGTTTGCATACTATATGCCTTCATATCAACTGATTACACTCCGCTGGAAG